CCGGGGTTCGTTTCTCTGCCTGACGCCTGCCTGGGCTTTGTAGGGGGTTTCACTATTCCTGGGAGGAGTAGATCCCCCATCCCTCCTTGCCTTTCGCTGTGCCCCGGGGCTCTCTGCCCTCCAGCTCAGGAGCCTTGTTGTCTTCGTCTTCACTCCGCCGCCCTGCTCAGCCAGGCGATGGCTCAGCCTGGAGCTTGGTGTTTGCACTCCGCTGCGCTCCTCGTCATATCGCTGGTGGGGCGGGAGGCTCCTGTAGGCACAAGGAGGTCTGGTGGAGGTGGAAGGTGCAGCCTCGGTTGCTCCAAGCCCCACTGGTTTTGCTGGATATCCTACGAACAAAGGAGGAGGTGGACCTGGCCTGCAGGCCTTGCTCCTGGGATCAGATCTTGCAGTGCAACAGTGTGCCCAGGTGGCCAAGGAGGCCACTAGAATCCTGGCTTGTATCAGCAAAAGCGTGGCCAGCAGAGCCAGGGCAGTGATTGTCCCCCTGTACTTGGCACTGGTGAGGCTGCACCTCAAATAATGTGTTCAGTTTTGGGGCCGTCAGGACAAGAAGGACATTGAGGGGCTGGAGTGGGTCTAGAGAAGGGCAACGAAACTGGGGAAGAGTTTGGAGAACAAGTCTGATGAGAAGCAGCTGAGGGAACTGGGGTTGTTTAGTCTGGAGAAGAGGAGGCTGAGGGGAGACCTTATCGCTCTCTGCAGCTGGCAGGAGGGTGTGGTGAGGTGGGGTCTGTCTTTTCTCGCAAGTGACAAGTGATAGGACGAGATGAAATGGCCTCAAGTTGCGCCAGGGGAGGTTTAAATTGGACATTAGGAAAAATTTCGTCACTGGAAGGGCTGTCGAGCCCTGGCACAGGCTGCTCAGGGAAGCAGTGGAGTCCCCATCCCTGGAGGGATTTAAAAGCCAGGTAGATGTGGCGCTCAGGGACACAGGTTAGTGGTGGAGCTGGCAGTGCTGGGTTAACAGCACTTGATGATCTCAAAGTTCTTACACAACCTAAACGATTCTGTGATTCAGTAATATTTAGGCGCCTGAGAATGGTGTTATGAGACAGAATATCTGAGCTCAGGCTCCTTACAGTAGGATAAAAAACCCATCCAGAGGCTGATGGGCTCTGTCAGGCCCAGAGTGTGTCAGGGCTTCTCTCCTCCATCCCAGTAAGAGCCGCCGTGTCCTGCCAGGTTTGCGACGCGGGTGTTCTGCAAAGGCATTGTCTGAGGCCTCCTTTTCCCCCTACCTGGCTCTCCCTCTCGGCTTTGCAGCTGGAGAAGCATGTTGCACGTCTCCGAGAGGAGCTGGACCGGGAGCGGGAAGAGCGCAACTATTTCCAGCTCGAACGTGACAAAGTTCACACCTTCTGGGAGATCACCCTCCAGAAGCTGGAGGAAAAGAAAGCGGAGCTGCGCAACAAGGACCGGGAGATGCAGGAGGTGAAGGAGCACCATGAAATGGAGATCAAGGTGAGAGGGGAGAAGGCTGGGAGGTGCTGTGAGTGCTCTGAGCTCCGGGTGAGCCTCAGGCAGCTCCGAGGGGGAAGAGGAGGAGGAGCTGGGGGGGATGCAAGCCAGG